CACAGAGACATGCTATGCAGGACAGAGAATGGCGGGCTGGTGACATAGGCAGTAAAAGAATTTACCAAGAGTCAGGGATTATAGAAAATACAAGGTTTTATTCAGATCAGAGTACACTGTCAAGAGAGAAGGCAGGCAAGTTTCCAAGAGAGGAATTGTGCAGTTAGGGTAAGAGATTGAAGTTTTTATGAGGGATTGAAAATGTCAGAAAAGGCTCAGTTAACAAATCTAGATATCTCAGAAATGTTTCTTTCAGGACCCTGGTGTCTACTGATGTTTTAGAAACACCTTCACTGTTTTTAAAGTTAAACACTAAAGTTGCAAATTGTCAAGCCCTCTTGCTCAGTCCTCACAAAAGGCCCTTCAGATTTTGATAAGTATATCTTTTACATTTTAACACCTTTTTTTCAGAAAGATGGGTTATTAGCTCACTGAAAAGAAGGAATGGTTTTTGTATTCACTTTTATCTTGAGCTGTTTCTAGTTGGCATCAGTGCAGTGCCTCATGCCTGCACAGTACACACTGGGCAGGATTGTATCACTGGAGAAATGTGGATGCAGCCCTTTTATCACCACAAGACAGAGCTTCAGACACCTGCACAAAGGTCTCCTTGAGTCTGTTGCTGAGTATAGCCATGCATGTACAGGATGAAAGTCCATGAGGCCCCACAAGAAAAACTCAAAAGTAAAACTCTCAGAGTTCATACAGGGCTGTGTAACACTTGAATTCTGGCCATGGGGAGTGAAGAGATCTCATTGAATACTTGAGGTTATAAACAGAAACTTTTCAGGATCCTGCCCTCGAAGTGGAGCCCTACTATGAAGGCTGCTCTAGACTTTTGTATCCTAGGTAGTTCTTGCCTACCCTGAATTCATAAACATTTTCCCTTATAATTCCTGCTTAAAGTTTTATACTTTTAGGCTTTCATATTTAGGTTCATAGATCCTTTCAAGCTATTTTCATGTATGGAAAAAAAGGGTTGAGGTTAATTTTTTATACACGGATACCAGGTGTTCTAGTGCCATTTGCTGAAAACACTATCTCTTCCTCGGCTCTTGAAT